CTGTGTCAGCGTCAGGAAGAGAAGTGATCGGCGCTGTGGCTGATAAACTTGGCACCACGGACGAGCTCCTGTTGGTCCACCTCAGCGCCGCCGGTGGTAAGAAGACAGTTTCGTTTTAGATGGGAAAGACATGTTCAACTGTGACGTCACCAACAGACAGATGATCTGTAATTTCAGTGGCTTCAGTAGATGAATAGAACCTCAAACAACTGGTGCATATTTTCCCAGTGTCTTTAAGTTAGTGTTGGGACGTATCTGGGTGGTACAGCTCAACTATTCTCTCTATGTGTTTCAGAAAAACAAATGTTGAAGCCTAATGACGTCTCAGTATTTTCTACTTTGGGCATCAACGGGCGATTATTTGCCTGTCCTCGAGACCAGCTCAACAGTCTGGTAAATGTTTCCCATGTTTACTTTGAATATGTTTTTATTAATCTGTTTCACAGTACTAAGGGTAATATTTGAGCAACGGTTAAGAATATATAGGAATATATACATACAGTGACAAATTTTTTACTTTAACTTAAAGTATATTGGATATTGAACCTACAAACCAAAAACAAGAAACCAAGAGTGCTGAATATAATACTTGTCTTGAGTTGTAATACATCTTTGGCCAAAACTACATGTGTAAATTGTGTGTGAACCTGTGAATACTCACTATTTATATTCTTTTATGTGCTTGCACATTTGTGGGTTGTGTGTCTCAGACTCCTCTTCCAGAGCAGGAGGGCCCCTCTGCAGGCTCCATGTCAACGTTTGAGCTGATGAGCTCTAAGGATCTGGCTTACCAAATGACCATGTTTGACTGGGAGCTCTTCAGCTGTGTACATGAGGTATCGCACAGACACACTAGAAACAACCTCAGGCCATTACAGTGTTGTGTAGGGCCTAATTTTACACACAAAAAACAATCTCATAGTCAGATAACTGTGTCGGTCCATACATATGTAACATTTTACTGCAAGTTGGCTTTTTACAGGCCTTCTCCTGTACTGGTGCAGCATTATTGTTCTTAACAAAAACCCTGCAGGACAAATGCTTAATAGATGCATGGTGGCAGGACCTGTCCATTGGATTAACTCTAAACCTGCTGCTCCTGTTTCCTCCCTCTTCTCCCCAGCACGAGCTGCTCTACCACACATTCGGCCGGCAGAGCTTCAGAAGAACCACGGCTAATTTGGATTTATTCCTACGGAGATTCAACCAGGTTCAACTGTGGGTTGTCACTGAAGTCTGCCTCTGCGGACAGCTCAGCAAGAGAGTCCAGCTCCTCAAGAAGTTCATCAAGATAGCTGCACAGTGAGTAGGACCTGCTGGTCCTTCACACACTTCATACTGTATACACATTGTTTTGTACACATGCACTGAGATGAAGAATTTCTTATATACAGTAAGGTTGACTTTAGTTGCATTCACTTTATTTCTTGCTTGTGTGTGTGTGTGTGTGTGTACTTGTCTGTAGCTGTCGAGAGTTTAAGAACCTGAATTCATTCTTTGCCATCATCATGGGGATGAGCAACCCTGCTGTCAGCAGACTGAGCCAGACGTGGGAGGTAAACATCTTCTTCGAAAAACCAATTAATCTGAGTCTAGATCTTCAGGGAACCTTGTTTGTATTCTGCTGTTGCTAAAGTACTACATTCATGTCTCCTGTCACTGAGATCTTATCTGTTTTTGGCAGAAACTCCCCACAAAGTTTAAGAAGTTCTATGCCGAGTTTGAGAGCATGATGGTAAGCTGCATTTTGAAATCTTTCAAAACACATTTAAAGTGGCTTTTGATTATATCTTTATGGGTCAGCTGTCGTCTCAGAGAAAAAGAGATACTTTGAGTACCAGAAATGAAGTTCCATTCATCACAATTATACTGGGTTGGCAGCAGAAATCTCAGTGACATACCTAAAAACCTGGGTGAATAAACGCAGAACTAATAGCTAACTAAATGGCTATATATCACTAGTGTTAATCAAGAAAAGTAAATAGTGTTTTTAATAATAAGGGTGAGCCAACATTTGAATGTATTAGATATTAACTCTATTAATTCTTCTGATGACAGGACCCATCCAGAAACCACCGGTCCTACCGACTCACTGTTACCAAACTGGAACCACCAATCATCCCCTTCATGCCCCTCCTTCTCAAAGGTATGACTCACTGTGGAGAATGTCTACATGTCTTTATGGGAGCACACCAGTTGCTGTATCATATAGGAATTCATTATGAGACACAGCTACCATTAAATTTAATAAATGTTTTTTTTTTCAGATATGACATTCACACATGAGGGCAACAAGACATTTATTGACAATATGGTCAATTTTGAGAAAATGGTGAGTTTCTGATAACAATGAAAAGGCAAATTATTTATTTATTTATTTAGCTTAAGTTATATGCCAATTTTTAACAGTGTTATCATCTTCCTCACTCATGCGTGACTAATATGTTAATCTCTTTATTTCATTAGCGTATTATAGCTAACACGATTCGGCAAGTGAGACATTGTAGAAGCCAGCCTTTCAGTAAGTGGCATGTTATTGATCAGTGCACCTACATTACATTTGTCTGCTGTCTTTGCAAATATTCTTTCTAATGATGCGTTCTCTTATCCCGTCCTTTTCTCTTACTGCGTTAGATCCCGACATATGCCAACCAAACAAAAACCAAGCAGAGGTACGGGGTTACGTTAGGAAGCTCTGTGTGATTGACAACCAGAGGGCGCTGACGCAGCTCTCCTACAGGCTGGAGCCTCGGCGGACATGAGTTCCAAATCTTCCACCACCATCGCCTTGTCTGTGACGTTAGCATAAAACAAACAAACAACAAACAAAACACACAAATTACCTGGATAAAATAACTCAACACACGTGGACATTCAGTAGCAAATCACAACAGTCAACGACTTTAGCACTATAATGGACTCTTATGGATCAAGGACTTATACTGTGCCATTAAAAGCCTCTTCTTCCTGGACAGACAAACTGTTCAGCTGCTCCTGTCGCTGTGTCTCAGCCCCCAGACTGATGGTTTATACCATACTAGCTATTACTGTTTGGGACCTGTTAGATAGAACTGTAATGTATAGAACTTGAATCAATATCCTGCATGACTGAACTTCATAGGCTCTGTGTTCTATACAGTGGATTTCTATCGAAGTGTCCTGTAATGTTGTGCTACCCCAAAATAAGCCCTAGTTTACAATATATTACTGTATCTGCCTGTAAAGCAAATCTTACTCTCCTGACGGTCCTACTCATAGACGGAAAACACACAAACTGTAGTGAAATCTAGATTCCTCATTTTCCCTATTGAATATACGGATGAATATGAAATCTGAGAGTACTTATTTATTTCATAATCTACAAGTATGTCAAAGTCTTTGAGAATCTTTAGGATTTGATGTCCTTTAGGTGAATATCAGTGTCCCTTAACTAGTCAGACACTTTCAAAACTACTTAACAGAGCATTAGTTGAATTAAAGCCCTAATGGTATTACAGTGTTCAAATTTGTCACTATACTATTGCGTTTTATTTTTGCATTGGAGGAAAACTCCTGAAGAATATAAATCATTCTAGATGATGAAGTTGCTTGGTCGGATCTGTTCTGAGGTCAGCTGTATAACCAAATTGTACTCCCTTGATTTGGAAGCACTGATTGTGGGTATGGAGTCTAAAAGCAACTTCTACTTAGAGAGGAAGTCTTGTCATCTCCCAGTTGTGTTCAGTCCCTGTAGTTTTATTTTTGTATATGTGGGTGTAGACTTTTTGAGTGTGTTCTTGACAAATGTCATTCATTTTCCTTTTGATCTCAGGAGCTTTTGATGTGATGGTGTGTGTCGAGAACTGCCGTGAGGCTGGCTTCCCCCAGAGCAGCCTGTAACTGTACTGTATGTGTAGTCTGCCTTGTAAATAAAAAATAGCTAATTTAACAGTGCTAATGCTCTGATCACGTTCTTCAGAGTTGCTGTAAGTGTCTTTTATCTCTGTCAAAAGTATTTTTGCTCCTTTTAGCTTTTGATTTTTGCAAGTCATCCAATTAATTTTGTATATTCACGTCTCTCCTCATCGGACAGGGCCTCTGGTTGACAAAGACAGGCTAGCTACATAATGACCTCTTCATAGTGCCATCCATCCAGTGGTCAGACTCTCAAGAGAATCAAAATCATCAGTTTATTACATCCATTACTTTTGTCCTCTGAGGTGTAATAATTCATTACAGCTTCTCGGAGCTACCAGTAAGTCCCCAGCCTTTTAGTGATGCTTTATTTATTCAGTGAATCACTAAGTTCTGCTTTTGCACTTGATTACTGTCAACAACTGAGAATTGTAACTAACTTCCCCGAGCTGATCTCACCTGTCCCCACACAGTGATGTCAGTGCGGCTATCTTGCTTGATGATGTCACTGGGTCATTCCTGTCTGGTTGAGTAACACGCTGTCCCCGCCTGGCTTCTCGGGTGAGTGTGTGTGTTTTTAGCTGCTGAGTGTGTGAGAGATGGACTTGGGTATCTGTGACTGTCAACCTTGTTGCTAACTGATTTACTGTGTCTGACACGCTATAGGCTGGAGTTGTATATCTCTGTCTATCTGTGTGTGTGTGTGTGTGTGTGTGTGTGTGTGTGTGTGTGTGTGTGTGTGTGTGTGTGTGTGTGGTGTATGGAGATCTTTATATAGCCACAGTTATCCAGGAAGGAGGAATGCCCTGGATGCCAGTGACCATATTTGAACAGTGTGTCTGCTACAGGCTGACTGCACACACTGACTGCAAACTGTAATTTACACACACTCAAACATTCACCTCCCCTTCATCTTCACACTCTGCGTGTGTCTGATCTGTATTGCAGTTACACTGGATCACCACTATCAGGCAATGTAATACCTTGTCTAGGAGTGACAGCGGGGCTTCGACTTTTCCTGACTCACGGGGAGCAAACTTCTCTCTCTCTCTCTCTTTCCAGCACTTTCTAGTTTCTTCTCTCTGACAATCTCTTCTGCCGACTGACAACATCCACTCCGACCCTGTGGAGGAAACTACCCCGCCTCTCCTTATTTCTTATCCTTCACTTGGTCCTCGCTGATCCGTGAATTGTATATACTTTTGGGGAAGCAGTTGGTGCTTAAGCGTGCACGCTTTTTGAGCTCCGCGTGTGTGTGTGTGTGTGTGTGTGTTGTGTGCGCGAGTCAGTATGCCATGTCGTCCCCTGGCTCGTCGTTTGTGCAGATAAAGCATGAGGACCTGCTTTTCTATGAGAACTGTGGAGGAGGCAGTTTCGGGAGCGTCTACAGAGCCCTCTGGATATCCCAGGACAAGGAAGTGGCTGTGAAGAAGCTTCTGAAGATTGACAAAGAGGTAAGAGGGAAGACACACACACACACACACACGCACGCACGCACACACACCGAGCAATCATAACACTTGTGCGGCAGAGTCACACACAAAATTAAACATCCAAATCTGCTGTCAGTTATAGCCTCTCCTCTGTGGCATATCGCTGCTCCAAACTTCAACATGAATCAGTGTCCACTCATTTCCCAGATTCTCTAGATTGAACTCAAAGCCCCCTCCCCTCCCTCCCACTCTCCCTCCCTCCTCCTCCTCCCATGTTGTCTGCCGTTGAACATGTGTTTATCTTAAACATACTTCGGTGTGTCCCCCTCCTCCCCACACTCTTTTGTGCATGGAGTAGTTTTATTTATGCCAGCACTCCCCTGTTCCTCCCATTGTATGTCAGGGCGAGGTGTGTGGTCATTAAGGGGCTGTAATGCCCTGCGGTCCAGCCCGGGTGGATCTCCATGAGTATGACCCCGATGGTAATCCAAACATAACTTCCCTCCATGTTATTAATACTGCTGTGGTGGAGGTTCACAATGCAGCGTCAGGAGATTAGGGCGACCTGTGGGTGAATCGGGCACGGTGTTACTGTTGTGGCAACAGGTTTTAAACAATGCAACGAAAAGTGTTCAGAAATTACAAAGACAATCAAAGGTTATGAATTTAATACACTGTCACACATGATCTGGCTACATGAAACTAGCGTTTGATTTCTTCTTTGACTTACTTCTCTCACACTCACTTTCTCACACCCACACACAAACACATGCAGGGTGGGCAGACACTGTAAAACTGTGTGTGCAGTTGGAGTGTAAATACAAATTGATGGATCATGGGCTGAGCTGCAGCTTAGTGGATTCTTCATGAATGTTTTCCTGCAACACTTCTTGTGAAATGGAGCTGCTTTTGAACATTAAAATCATATTTCAACCGATCTTTGATGTCTGCACAAACACTATACTAACTCACACTGTGGCGGCAGAAGGATTGAAATCATTCATACTTCAGTAAAAATAGAAACACCACACTATGATAATTACACTACTGCAAGTAAAAATCCTGCATTCAAATTGACTTCAGTAAAGGTAAAGAAGTATTTGTAAGAAAATGTACCTAAAGTATAATAAGTAAAAGTACTCATTATGCAGAATGACCTGTGTTATATTATTGGATTTTTACTATTAATAATCTATTACAGTAAAGTGTTTGTGGAGGTGGAGTTAATTTCACATACTGTAGTTTAATCTGTGAAAAAGCCTCATTTTATAAACGGATATGTTTTTTTTTTTATGTAAAGTCTTAATCTGAAAAGTAACTAGTACATAGCCAGATATAAAATAAATAGTGGATTAAGAAGTTTAATATATCCCTGCAATGTAGTGGAGCAGAAGTATAAAGTGGCTTAAAATGGAAAATACAAAATAAACCTTAAAATAGTACTTCAGTATTTGAGTAACTGTACCTAAATGTTACTTTCCATCACTGTATTCACAAATGTAACATTACCTGTGCAATTGCACACACACACACACACACACAGTGTTTGTACACACTGATAACCTCACATGTGGAAAAAATAATGGGAATGAAATAGAAAGCTAAATGGCTCTTTGGAAGAAAAACTAGTTATTCTGATAATATTGTGGTGTTCGATTGCAGTTTTTTTGTGATTTCATAAAATTTATGGTTAGTTATTGTGTTGCTTGGCAACAGTTACATATTCCACATATGCAGAGGTTATGACCTATATGTCAGTTGAGATTAATAGCATGTTTGTCACACCAGTGTGAAAGGTCTTTGTTTGGAGACTCAACCTGTGGTATGACAGAGGTTCAGACATCCCGGAGACACTGAGAGGCTTTAGTTTAAACGTAAGTCAAAAGCTCTAGCTTTTAGGTTTTACATCCTATCAGGGATGATTATTTTCTTCTTCTTCTTTTCATGTTTCCTCGCCAGTGCCAGATATTGCAAAAATGAAGTAGGCTGCTAATGAAGCTGTTCATATCCCTCTTGTTTTTCTTTTCCTCGTCTCCTCGTCCAGGCTGAGATTCTCAGTGTCCTGAGCCATAAGAACATCATTCAGTTTTATGGAGCCGTGCTGGAATCTCCCAACTATGGCATTGTCACAGGTCAGACCCCGTGTGTGTGTGTGTGTGTGTGTGTGTGTGTGTGTGTGTGTGTGTGTGTGTGTGTGTGTGTGTGTGTGTGTGTGTGTGTGTGTGTGTGTGTGTGTGTGTGTTGTGTGGTGTAGTGTGTGTGTGTGATCCATATATCCTTTCAAATGTCTTCACAAGAACATAAAACCTAAAAGTGTGGTTGTTTAATACCTACATTCATTCAGATAAAGGTCACCTTTTGAAGAAGTGCTCTACCATTGAAGATATGTATTATTATCCTTGGGGTTAAGGTCTGATGGAAACAAGTAACATTAGGTCGGGTCAGTGTTTGAGGTGAGGCGAGGCATAAAAGGGTTAAGGCCAGAGCAGGTTATTCTCTCATATAAATCTACACAAGTGTGTGTGTATATCAATTTTATTAGTTTGTATTTGATCCTGGACGTGCCACTTACGGACACGTTAGCACATGCTCTGATGGCCCACCAGTGTTTATGTGTGTGTTTTGAAGTATCGGTGTGTACTCTGCGCGCTGGTTCTTGCTGTGTTTCCTGGCAGGACATTTGTAACTGAGACCAGCATGTTTGGATGTGGTTGTAATCCCGATGGGGTCATATGGTTAAGATAAAGCACCGACACCACCACTGAAAACTTGTCCAGCAATAATTCTCGCTGCAGCAGAGCGTTACCAAGTATAACAATTACTAAAAATAAGAAAGTACAGTAAGGCATACATGAGAGAATTGGTTCAGGAGAGAGATTTTAGTCCTAGTGAATTTGCAAATGGTAATATTTAGTCATTTAAAAGACAGATTTTTCCATTTTCTACCCACCAGGCTGCACAGACCTTTCACTGGACACTATCCTCTGTCTTCCACGTGTCGCTTTGAATTGTCGACATTACAGGAAAATGGGAAAGGTTGAAAGTTCAGAGATAATCTGGATTAGACAGTCAGGGTGTGAAGGTTGTGAACTTTTCCACTGATTCGAACTGACTCCTCTGTGTTTAGGTATGTGTAGTGTGTAGCACTTAACTATGTCTGATGTTTCTCACACATTGTAATATTTTTAGGTAGACTACAACTGCATTAATAACTGCATAATAAAAGCTGATATTTATTCTCACAGCAGCTAGTGTTAAAAGGTTTTAAAGATCAAACTCAAACATATATGATTAATTGTCGTCTACTTTTCTGCTCATGGCCACATTGTATAGAATATGTAGCTGTGTACAGGTCCACATGATTTCTCTTTTATACCTGTTGTCTTATAGTGACCATTGCTTGTGTGTGTGTGTGTGTGTGTGTGTGTGTGTGTGTGTGTGTGTGTGTGTGTGTGTGTGTGTGTGTGTCACAGAATATGCTAGTGCAGGGTCTCTGTACGAGTACCTTTCCAGTGAGCAGAGTGAGGAGATGGACATGGAGCAGATCATGACATGGGCCATACAGATAGCTAAAGGTACAACTGAGGAAATACTAATAAACTGTGTGTCAGGGTTTTATCATGAAGTCTTAAGAGTCAAGCTCCTCAGAGCCACGATCACTGATACAATCCTGTGTTCTGTTTTACTTTACTCATCATGCACCAGATGCAAATGCTTTTTATTTGCCTTTTAATCCACATCTCCAACTTGTGTATGTTCACCACCAACAAGCTTCTTCCATTTAACAGGCAAAGTAATTGGATAAAACAAAAAACACACAAAACACCATTAAAAAAAAAACATAGTTCTTAGATTTTTAACCACCACAAAGTTAAAAAAAATAAAAGTTGCAAATGACACCTTTGCTGGTGACTCCAGTGATAAATGATGGTGGTGAATTGAGGAGAAAGATTTACATTTTCACATGTTCCCTGTGATTAATTTTAAGGTAATTGAACATTAATAATTTGCGCAGAGTATCAGTAAGTATCGACTGTATTTGATGGACAAAAAGCATCTCACCACCTAACTTCAGATGAGCCTGTTCATATTTAATCTGTTGAGGACAGCCCTTTGTATTTTACCCTTTTTATTCATTTCATTTGTTTTTAAATGTTGTTTTTAAGCCTAAAATTTTGAATCCAAGTTCAGTGTGAACCTAAAGCTGATCCCCAAAATGTGCAAATTTCATATTTTACAATGAAATTGCAGCCAAACCTACATGTTAGTAGGAAATTTCACCAAAACCAATCACTAAATAAGTATTAAAAGGTTGTCGTTTTTTGGCACTTATTAAAGGATGTCTTTCTTTCAGGGATGCATTACCTCCACGCAGAAGCTCCAGTCAAAGTCATTCACAGAGACCTCAAGTCACGGAACGGTAATCACCTTCTGATTCGTTCCTCAAACTCTCAGCTTCTTTTTCTCTTGCACATCTAAACACGAGTTCTCTTTGCCATTTGACTGCTAGCTATAGTATGAAACCATATAACGTCACACAGATTTGACTGATTTCTCTGTTCTCTCTTGTACAGTGGTGATGACAGCAGACAAAGTGCTGAAGGTTTGTAACACTGATCTTGTGATCTATGGACAAACACATACTGTATTAGTACATTAGTTTCACCCTGTTCAGGCACACAGCTTTTTGTTTTGCCTCATTGTTCTCTCTCTGTTTTTCTCTCACTCTGTTGGGATTTCAGATTTGTGATTTTGGGGCATCTAAGTTCCTCTCCCACACCACCCACATGACGGTGGTGGGCACTTTCCCCTGGATGGCTCCTGAAGTCATTCAGAGCCTGCCTGTGTCTGAGACCTGCGACACCTACTCCTATGGGGTGGTGAGTTGGTAGTACTGTACAAATATAAGTATTGTAAGGCCAGAAATCAAACTTGTCTATTCAGACACTATCAGAACTATTCAAGAAAGCTATAGAAAACAAATGAGACCCAAATATACTGTATTTGGAGCAACCAGCAGCACATCAAAGCATTCATGTCTGTCTGAATGAGCCAGCACAGTCTCTTCTGTGGCCAGGTGCTATGGGAGATGCTGACTCGGGAGGTTCCTTTCAAAGGCTTCGAAGGGCTGCAGGTTGCATGGCTGGTGGTGGAAAAACAAGAGGTAACAGACACAAACACACACACACACACACACACACACACTCACACTCTCTCACACACACACACACACACACACACACACACACACACACACACACACACACACACACACACACACACACACAACACACACACACACACACACACACACGTGAGCACACCTTTTTGAACACTCTCTAAGCATGTAGACCCACCAGAGTTTGAGAAGGCTGGAGGAACAATGCGATGCTCTCATGGTTTCCACTGTGAGCTGGTGAGGCTGAAGCTGGGTATTTTTAGGCCTGATGTCAGTTCTCTGCTCTTGTAAGGCCTGGATACACAGCAGTGGAGCTCGGCCAGACACCCCCCCCCCCCCCCCCCCCCCCCCCCTCGGCTAAAGCCTTTACGAGAGAGAGACAGACAGACAGACAGACAGACAGACAGAGAGAGTGGGGGGTGGGGGGTGAGGGATAGAAGAAAGACTGCAGCGATGGGAGGGTTGATTCAAGAGGTTTATGGGTGGTGGGGGATGATGGTTACACAGTGTATGTGTTTCAGTTATTGACGTGCCTGAATCCACTTCAACAGCCACACACACACACACACACACACACACACACACACACACTGGGGGCCAACAAACAACTCGGAGAACATGATTCCTGCGTAGCTGTTGGCTAATCTCCAAATACTCTCCCTAAATAACTCACTCTCTCTCTCTCTCTTTCGCTTTCCCAGTCTCCCTCTGATTTTCCCCTCCACTGCTATACCTCTTCCTGACCCTCTAACTTGCCCTCTCTCCACTCCACAGTCGGTGATATTTTAGGATTAATCCCCACAGAAAACTGTTTCCATTTGCTGCACAGTACTATGGAGCTGTCTGGGCTCATTCAGAGCTCTGGTGATGCCAGGGGATCTTTAATGTGGGAACATTATCTCAGTGGCATGGTGCTGCAGTTTACAATGTTACAGAAAGATAAACACGGACCCAGACACTTTTATATTTTCCTATTTTATGCCAAACAATTTCACTAGAGTGCACATTTTAAATTAAACACATGGTTGAACTTAACTACAATGTAAATCTATAAACACACAAAATAATCTGTTAAGAGTCCCCCTGTCTCATTATGTGCCTGGGTGATGGGTTTCCACATAAAAACACAATCTTTTCTGACAGAGACCAGTTATGGTTATTTTATATTGGGCACTTTTTCTCTGTGCTTTTATCAGTGGTTTGAAGTGGGTGAAGTGGGGTCTAGTAAGGTGATATTGAGTTTTAGCAATAATTGATTCAAAATGAGACAACAGTTATTGAGGTTATTTTATTCATTGTCTTTTCTTTCAGTTTTTGAGTGTGATAATGGCATGCCACTGTGCCGTACAGGCTCACAGAGCAGCAAGCATGGCTTTAGGCTCATAGTCTTGTTTTACCTTTGACTGTTACTAATTAACTCATGAATATTTAATGTTTCAAAGAAACACTTTCAGTTTTCAGGGGCTTTACGTTGCTTTTTAGTAGGTTATGAAAAAAAAAATAAGGTGGCCGGATATGACATCTGTAAAAAGTAACGGCTTCTGCTTCTTGTGTTTGTGTGTCTGCATATCTAGAGGCTGACCATCCCCACCAGCTGTCCAGCAAGTTTTGCTGAGCTGATGAGAAAATGCTGGCAAGCAGACCCAAAGGTAAACTAAGGACGGATACGATGATCTCATTGAAAATTATATTATGCTTCACTTGTATGCTTTTAAAGATAATAAAAATAGGTACAACAGGTTGTTATTTTGGTTTGTTTGCATGCATCTACAGGAGCGTCCACAGTTTAAGCAGGTGCTGGTAACCCTGGAGACGATGTCTAACGACAGCAGACTACCGGACCAGTGTAACTCTTTCCTACATAACAAGGACCAGTGGAGGTACACACACACACACACACACACACACACACACACACACACACGGTTTTGTAGACATCCAAAAGAGAGCAGTGATTGTATCTGCACTGTGTCTGAGTATGAGGTGTCATCTGTAATTTGTATACAGTAAAGTCTTGGTCTTTTGTTTGAATGACAAATGCAGTCTGTAGTTTACTGTACTCCAAATAAAGCTCAATATGTATGCACACAAATTAATACACACACACACACACACACACACACACACACACACAAACATCTCTGTGCACTCATAAGCTCAGGAGAGAAGTTGAATGTGTGACCCTGTACTCTACTTCAGTCTATAATAAGCTCTCTGGAAAGTGTCCATGGAAGAGATTCCTCTACTCCTCCACTCTGCCCTCGCTCCACCATGGGGGGAAAGACAGAGTGGGGGGTGGGGAGGTGGAGTAAGAGGGAGAGGTGGTGGAGAAATCAAGTTTGAACTGAAGAGGAGGAGAAGTTCAGGGAGGAACAGAAATGTATTGGTTGCATGTGAAATCTAAAACACTGAGGATAAAGGGAAACAAGAGTGGACAAATGACACGGGTGAGACAGGGGAAGGAAGGAGGGAGAGAGAAGGAGAGAGGGATGGGGGATGGAGCAGAGGAGAGAAGGTGCGAGATTCTGTGCATATTTAACATGAGTACAGCGAGGCAATCAATTCTGAGTGAAGTTTTGGGTACGGGTGGAAAAACTTGGACAAGAAGGGAGGAGGAGAGGAGGGAGGAGGGAAAGTGAGGGGGGTGAAGGGGCGGGATGAATGAATAGGGAGGTATGGCAGTAACACAGGAAGAGGTATGGCTGTGCGTCAGATCTCTTGTCTATATTTAGTTGCTGTGAGAGCTGATTGTGTTTGTGAATGCAGGTTCACAGACACACTCACTAACTGCCACAGTGACCTCTTGTGGTAGCAGACAGTACTGCAGTGAAATATTTTCACTGATGACACGTTGACAACTTTTTGCGGAAACAATATTGTATTCTGCAGGAATAGTAAACTCATTGCGTCAGAGTAATGACATTATTAATTTTATTGCCTTGTAACGTTGCCACGGTGTGTCAGAGCTGGAGCTTTTGCTTTTGGCCAAGTAAGTGAAGTCATAATTGGTAACTTTCCAACTCCAATCCACATTACATAGAAAATCTTTTTAATGTTTTGAATATGCAGTTTGTCCATAATGAAAGTCACAAAATCAAATGTCTTCAGAAAAATTGCACAAATTAAATTAAAATGAATTGTGGATGCTGATGAGACAGTTTTTCCCTTAATACTACATAATTAATATTAATCAAAATAAATTGTGATTGGTTGAAACAGTGTAAATGGATGAAAGGTCGTATTTTAATTGATGTCTGTGCAGTTGTTGTATAATTTTCTGTCAGTATAGAAGGGACTGGTATATTGATTTCTTAAGTATACTATCAATCATTAGTATTTAGTGTATTGTATTTACTTACTATGTAAGTTTTGTACACAAACACTAAAGCAAACCTTGGGCATATCGGTAATGACTGATCTTAAGATTGTCTTTGAAAAGAGTAGTTCATTTGATATTGATAAATTTTAACAATATTTATGTACCTCTGAAACATTATCAGTTATAGTTTCCTTGGTCTGAGGAACTTTTTGAAACTGAATCCGTCATTTGTTATTTATTTGTGGGTGTGGTAAAATTGCTGTTAAAACTAGGCCACAACAGATCACTGATATTCTGTCCACGGATCTGCTCTATGTGCAAATACTACAGGTGTGAAATTGAGTCGACCCTGGAGCGGCTTCGGAAGCTGGAGAGGGAACTTTACTCCAAAGAGAAGGAGCTGGAGGAGAGGGAGAGGAGGCTCAAACTGTGGGAGGAGAGGCTGATGGAGAGGTCCAACATGACTCCCAGTCCGACCTCCCTTCTCATGGAGCGCTCAAACATCTCACCAGTAAGTAAATGTGGAACTAAGTGAATGTAAATCTGTTCAGACAGCTGAAAGCAAAATCATCTTATACCTTATTATGACCTTGGCCCTCCTCTTCCTCCCTTCTCTCTCTGACTTTAACAGTTCTTCAGTTCTGGTTCTTTCTTCCGCTCGCACTCTCAGGACTCCAACAGTACAGGGGTTAGCAGTGCTGGTGTCAGCTGTCTCCTCCGCACCCTCAGCAACGGAGACACGGAGAGGGGGAGCAGTGCGGTGCTTGAGAGGGGGATGGGGTCGCTCGACAGCGGGAGGCTACACGCAATGCTCCGAGGTTTGCAGGGGAGGTTCGGAGAGGAGGACGAGGAGGAGGAAGGAAGCGTGGAGGAGAAAGGCTGGGGCCAGAGGGAGAGAGATGATAGTGGGAGTATGGAGGGAGGAAGAGTGCAGGTGACGCTCCGGAGCTTCCCAGGTGGTGTAGTGGAGAGGGAGGAGAGGACATGGGAAGAAGGGGACAGGGAGAGAGGAGGCATGCAGCGGAGCAGGGTGACGACCATAGTGCGCGGATACTCAGGTGGGTTTGGAGAGGCAGAAGGGGAAAGGGAGAAGGAGGGAGGATGGGAGATAGAAAAACTCGGGGACAGGCTCAATGAGAGAGGAATGGAGGGAGGGATTGAAGGAGGGCGGCTCCCGACCATGTTCAAGGGTCTCCATGGGAGTTTGGGGGGCTTGGGGGACATGCTGTCCTTAGACATGGATGACATGGGGGAGATGGAGAGACTAGGTGACATGGACATGGACATGAACATGGGTGACCTGGGAGTGAAAGTGGTAGGCCATGGAGCCAGGAGTGAGCTAGGGGTCAGGGGTCGCAGGAGTGACGTGGGGGTCGTTGTCCAGGGAGTCAGAGGTGACGTCAGCGAGGCCATCAGCCAAAAGATTAGAGGTGAGGTAGGGGTCATCGGCCACTCGGGGGTGCAAGTGAGCATGCGGGCTTCGTCCAATCAGAACTCTGTGAAGAGCTGCAGTGTGCGGCATGGAACCAAGATCAACATGGCTACTGCAGCCATGGACATGATGGAGCTCGACTGGTCTGACAGTGACTAGAAAACACATTAGCACCCACACCCACCCACACACACACACTGACACACACACACACGCACAGAAAACACACAGAGGCCAAACTAGAAAGATTTTGACTTGTTAGCACATACAGTATCTGAGCTACAGTATGTGCATTAGAATCTCCAGTTGAAAAAGAGCTGGTATACACACATTTCTTTTGTTAATTTTTTTTATTGAATGGATGAATACTACACCCATGTGTACTGTGAAGTAGGAAGGAGCAAAAAGACAATTCGAGGTTGTCTTGTTATGCTGACAGAATGATTTCACCTGTGTAATTTAATGTGCTATTAAAACTGCTGCATAACATACTGTAAGAGGTACAAGTGTTACAAAATAACACACTTGAATGCCGCTCTAATGAGGCAGCACTGTCAGATTTTTTTTTTCTTTTTTTTTTTTCTTCCTGCTTATAGGGTATCTTGTTAGTTTGTAGATTTGATTTGTTCAAAACAAGCTTTGACTTTTATCAGTTCTAACTGTGACCTAGTGCGTGAATTTTTGGCATTTATCTCTGTATATTTTATCATTTTTCAATAAAAAGAAAAGAAACTTTCTGAAACATTCTGTTCCTGTGACTTTGCTCTAAGTAAGTTTAAAAAGGGACATAAAACTCTCCTTATTAACACATGGTACAAATCTACCTTGTTTAATAAGAGAAATTCCCCTCAACCTCTAAATCCTGAGTCCTGACCTCTAAACTCTGTCTCACACACTGAGCAGAAGAGCCACTCCAGCCAGAACCCACTTGGCCGGCCGCTCCCTGGTTTTCAGGCTGAAAGTCCACACATAAGTGGGTCCTCTGATCTTGGTCTTGTAGAGCGGACACTCGTAGATATTCCTGGTCTCCTGGCGGTCATTGGGCACAGCTCGGACTGAGATGACAGGCATGGAAGGGGTCAGTTCCTTTAGACGAGCCTCAGTGATGACGCCAGCCTGAGTGTCCCATCTTCCACCTGTGGAAGGACATGGGTTTAGAGGGGGGAAACAAAACGGGAGAGGATTCTCCATGCTGCCCCACAATAGAGAGGAAATGAAAGACAGTGTTTGTCTACCTTCCATGTAAAGTCCATACACGTATGCACCCTCCCTGGCCGGCTGGTTGAACTCTTCCTTGAACTTCTTGGTCACATCTACTGTCAGGTTCACTTTATCCAGGGGCCACTCGTTCTTACGCGCCAGAGACTGCATCACCGCTGAAAAACATATACATTTACATTTACATACAAGTATTACTTGTATTATATATGTACTTAAATACTAAATATAAGTATTACTACATGGATGTCTTATCTTGCTTATCTGTATGCACAAATGTGTGGTTACCGGTGAGAAAGGACTGTGGGTTGAAAAGTCCAGACAGCCAGACGACGCTGGGCAGAGACAGGTCCTGAGTCCAGCTGTCCAGCTCTTTACAACGCTGCAACACGTCATTATACCTGAGACACACACACACACACACACACACACACAGAATGAGAGAGAAATATTTAGATCAAAGCGTTTGCTACATGTATTAGTATACATGATAGTGCCTAAAGTATCTCAAATAGTAAATGCATTATTTTGGAAATTGGAAAAATTGGAATTACTATGCATTGGGCACTATGCAGTTAAATACAGTTCCTTATACACAAAATATATAACTCATTTAGATATGCAAACACACACACACACACACACACACACACCATATAACCAGGCTGTAGGTGGAGGGGTAAGCCAGCTTGGTCCAGGTGTCAGGGACATTGTCAAAGAACAAGGCCGTCTGCAGCTTCTCCATCTCAGAGGAGATGGCCAGTTCACCCTATGACAGACATTAATTCACAGAGATTATGGTTTGAGTTTCATAGAATCCCTGATGGAGAGGATAATGGGAGTTATGTGAGATGCAAAACTATATATATACACATACACTGTATAAATAAAAGCATACCTTGAGACCTAGGTCAAGCTCCTTTAGTGAGCGTCGTATCTCAGAGATGAGCGTGTTCATACGCTCACACTCCTGGAAGCAGACCAGGATGAACGGGGAGCGCTCAGCTGTCTTGGAGGTGATGTCGGACATATTGTACTCTTCTGGTAGCTTTTCCAGCACCTCATCTAAAATATTTTTCACCTGAAGGTAGGTGGAGTGAGTAAAAGAAAGAGCATAGGAAGAGAATTTGCCATTGTTGATGTGCTCCTCTCCACCTTGTTTCTTTGTATAAACAGATTAAATAGTTAAATAGGAGTTAATAAATGTGTCAGTATGTTTGCTAAATTTAGGAGAGGGTCCGAGTTCTTTTATATATAAGAAAAAAAACGAATCCCTTAAAGAAATAACTGATCTTAGAGGCTGATCTATATCTACCTTCTCCTCCAGCGTCTGTGAGGCTCCCTCCCCCATCACAGCATCAGGAGACTGCAGCTCCAGCAGAGTGTGAAAAAGGTTATCTGACGTCACCGTCAGGAACTCAATTTCTGCGTTGGGGTGCAGCCCATAATGCACTGGGCTCTCGTGGGGCAGCATCTCATCAATGAAATCATGGTAGCCCTGGAGATGTGTGGGAAGAAAGTCATTTGGTACTTTTATTAGATATATATATATATAGGTATATTTAATGTGTGCATTGCCCTTGTGGGACTTGAACTTTGAACCTTTATTTATCCAGGTACAGCTGAAAGGAACTCTCTAATATTTCTGTGATTACTTGTTTTATATACACACAAAGGACACACCACTTAAATGTTTAACAAGGTGTAACTATGAAGGTTAAACTTTTTCAAACTGTATTTTTTCCAGCTACCTGATAGTCCAGGTTGGAGGGGACGACAAACCCGGGAGCCAAAGCAAGCTTACGATCAAACTGGGAAGCAGAACAACAGAAAGAAGATTTTTTTATCCTCAGATCAGAACACAGTACAAAACATAAAACTGTCCGAACCCAGACAGCCAAATTAACTCGGTCCAAATCTGGCACGTCTGGTTGCCAGACACTCTTTAGTTTGCAGCACAACCGCTACTAACTGCTAGTGGCCATATTTGCACCAGAGCCAGTTTACATTAGGTCCTCTTGTGCTAGAACACAGCCGCCGTGTGTGCTGCCAAACTCTAATGACTACCCGTGGACGATTACATTCTTGTTCATCTCTCTTTGTCTCATTCAAGTACATGTACAAACCTGGTTGGGCTGCATGTATTCTTCCAGGTATGTTCTGCAGAGGCGTCTGTCCCAGTCATCAGTGATGTGTCCTCCATACATGATCTCCCCAAACAGATACCTCAGGTCCTCCCATGGCACCTTCATCATCATAATCATTACGAAAATCACTGCCAATGCAATCACCATCATAATCATCCACATCATGCTGTAGCAAACTGTAAAACTGCTCACTACACACCCAGAACGCTCTTACATGCACTTCTCTCCCAGTCAGCCAGTCACGCACCATCTCATCCACTCAGACGACACACCCCACCTGTGCATTGGCCTCCAGGTAGTTGTAGAGGACGTTTACGGATATCGTCAGGTCGCCGGTGTTGAAGGGATACTTTCTGTTCCAACCCTGAGGACCGAACTTCCTCCTCTCTGCCACGCAGGCATGGAAATAACACAGAGAGAAGAGGATGGTCTTAAACTCCTGCTCGCGACTGCACTGGTCCAGGATGTCCTAGAGAGGGGCCAATAAATCAATAAATCAATAAAAACATATAGGCAATGTTAACACAAAGCAGACAGCGGAAGCTCACCTGGTCAAAGTTATCCAGAGCAGCGTGCAAATTGGCATGCATGCCCGTGGGAGGCTCATTGGTGATCTTGATAGCGTTTTCCAGAATGCCCTGAGTAAAACATGTAAGATTTACACCTGCATTTAGCGCCACTACTAAAGTGCAGAACTGTAATCAACACACTCATCACGCCTATGTGTATGATACACTATCTCTACCTGTGGGATAATGTGCTCCTGAGGTGTTGGAGCTGGCTGCGCGCTCATAAACACTCTGTAGTCGGGATGACTCTCTTCACAGCAGCGCTCCAGGAGCTTCTCAAGTGAACCCAGCCAGCGACCAACGAGGTGGATGTTCTGCAAGGAAATGGATTTGGAAACCCATAATCAAGACTGAATATAGTATATACAGCATGCACAGAAAATCACAGAGTGATACAGCCAATTGCATTTATGAGACATTAAGGCATTTATAGATATTTTTGATTTGATTCATAAACTGTAAACTAAGCACATTTTACATATTTAAGATTCATAATTCATAACTGAAGGTGTTCTGTTATGTGTTCTGTCCATCCGGACGTTCAAAGGAAACCCATCTTTCTGGCATCCAGACCTGTAATATAACCCAGTGGCCCTCCTTGGCAGCCTTCTCCATGGCAACCTCTGCCACAGCTTCTTGGCCCTGCCCCAAGGACACATTGTGAAGCTTCCCAAGGTCGATAGTGAAACCCAGCTTCCTTCCTGAGAACACACAGGGCTGAATTTTTTATATGTTGACACAGACTAAAAAACTAACCTTCAGAAAAGAATAGCCTGTTGTTGTTGTTGTTGTTATACTTCCAGTAAAAACATGCTACGTTACTTTTTCCATGTGTTCTTCTAAATGGTAAAACACAAGCATTTCTTTATTAACATTTTTACAGCGCTACTGTCACTGCACTGTATAGCAACGACCATTGTATATATGACTATGTATTTGTGTGCAGTCTGTGTGTGTTTGCAGAGACTTTGCGGACGGTACCCAGAGATTCCACGTCTTTAAGTGGGTCCACTCCAGGAGAGAGGATGAAGAACACAGGTGAGGCTGGACCACTTTCTCGGAAGGACTTTGCAAATTCTGTCTTTCGGCCCTCTGTATACTTAACACCAAGCTTCTCCTCCACAAAGTTCCTAGAGAATGTCAACAAAAATAAAAAGTGATAGAAAAGTGGATAAGGACCTAAATGCCTACGCTGTTAGATGCAGCTATAAACAAATTACAAAGTTTTGAGAGCCCTTTATCCATTGTTGGTGGGAAAAATAGACATTAGCCAGCATTATGCAAATATCTTATGAATAACACAGGAGGATTCAATGTATAAGAAGTAACATAAGTAACACAAGTAAAATAAGAAAATCCTCTGCACCTGAGAGCATAGGTCATACGGTCGGGTCTCAGTGCTCTCATCATGATGAGTTTCTGCAGGGAGCTTTTGCCTTTCCACTCCTGAGGAAACTTCTCCTTCTCCGGACACTCCGACTCCACCATCTTCTTCCAGCGCTTAGGAGAGCCTTCGATGTCCCGGTCCAGACCACGAAACTCATCAGTGAAACTCATCACCTGAGCAAAGCCGAGGAACAGCAGGTGGTGATTTATGCTGTCATTTATTCCTGTGAGCCAACAAAAATAACAGTGTGTGTGTGTGTGTGTGTTTGCACCTTGATAGCGCTCCACGCTGAGTTGGACAGAAAGTCGAGGGGGCTGATGTAGTTGTGATCAATGTTAAAACGTAGCAGGAAGTCTAGCTCTCGCACATCTATCTCTTTACTCATCAGGAGCAACTGAAAGTGGGAGAACACAGT